GTGCCTGTTCTCCCCATGGATTCCAAGTGGGCCTTGGGAACCAGATCCATGCAGGCATCTTGTGGGGCTGGAGATCAGTCTCTCCTCTGTGCCTAAGGCTCTCCACGACACAGAATAATGGATAAGAGGGAGTTGTAGCCTCCATTGGTCCCTTGCAGCTCAGAATGATCTGTGATTCTGTCTCCACATCAGCCTGATGGATCATCCCCCCACCAGCCTTGTCATTCCTGAAGGTGTTTTTGGAAGGAGAGCTGGTGGTACAGGGTGACAAGGCACAGCATCCCTGGCTAAGCTCTATCCCAAAGGGAAAATCCCCCCTTGGTGGAACACCTCTCATCCAGGCAGGTGTGTTGGGGCGACTCGGGAATCCTCACAGATAAGAGAATGGTGACAAGGGACAGAGACTCTCTCTCTGTTCCTCACCAGCCCCTGGGCAGTGGCACAAGCTCCTGGCAGTCCCTTGTTCCAGAGCTTTCCACTCTCTGCTCTCCCACTGCCCAAAACCCTGTGGCAGCAGGACAGCCTGAGGCTCCCACTTGTGAGGGCTCATCCTTGGCATTCATTTACTCATCCACAACTCCTCCACCAGCAGAAATCGGGGATAACCACTGCAGCCAGCCCTGGGGGTTAATGCTGGTATAATAAACTCATTTTCTCCAGCTTTTTCTCGGGGTGTTGAGCACAAACCCTCATCCCCAAACCCACATGAGCTGCAATTATTCATCCCAAACCCCATTTAATAAGTATTCCCCAGGCTGTGCTCCGGGAGGTCAGTCACAGGCAGCCAGCAGGACACGGGGCTGTGGTGAACCACGGCAGCACTTCTGGCTCTGGGACAACATCCCACAATCCTGGAGAGGGAAACATGGATTGTGGCTGGCCTGGGCAATGCAAAGACCAGTGATTATAGAGGGAAATTGGACAACAGGCAGGATGAGGGAACAAAGCAGGAATAAAGTAGCAGCTGAGTTTGCAGGGAGTGAGACAAAGGGGCTGTTCTGAAAGGAGGGTTGGTCTTTTCTCCCAGGTAACAAGGGGTAGGATAAGAGGGAATGGCCTCAAGTTGCACCAGAGGAGGCTTAGGTTGGATATTAGGGAAAATCTCGTCACTGAAAGGGTGGTCAGGCATTGGATCAGGCTGCCCAGGGAAGTGGTGGAACCACCATCCCTGGAAATGTTTAAAAAACGTGTGGATGTGGTGCTTGGGGACATGGTTTAGTGGTGGATCTGGCAGTGCTGGGTTAGTGGTTGAACTCAGTGATCTTAGAGGGCTTTTCCAGCCCTAATGATTCCATGTTAATGGGACTGAGGATGAAGGTAATGTTGTTGTTGGCATTTCCCTGGTTTGAAGGACACCTTGTTCTTTAGCAAAGGTCTCCTTTATTTGGGGCGTTTTAGCCTAAAATGCTTCTGACTATTGACCCCCCCGTGGGCCTGTCAGAGGATCCTGCTCTTGGAATCACAGAATCACAGAATGGTTTGGCTTGGAAGGGGCCTTAGGGATCATCCAGTTCCAACCCCCTGCCATGGGCAGGGACACCTTCCCCTACACCAGATTGCTCAATGCCTCATCCAGCCTGGCCTTGGCTCTTCTCTCTCTTGCTGGGACCACATCCTGCTCATACCAAAGAATTTGTCAACACAGCTCAACTTCCAGAGAAACAGGAACAAAACCAGGAAGAAAATGCATGTTTGTGTCCGGAAATTTTTTTCCTGAAGACTTTTTGGACAGGGGCTGCGGGTGAATGTGCCCGTGATTTAATGGGAAGAGCAAAGATCGAGCTTGTGTGGAAAGTCAAGCTCTCTCACAAGTGCTTTCCCATCGTTTGCTCAGCCTGAATCATCAGTTTCTCCCAGATTCCCCAAAGTTTTCTTGCTTTTGGGAGCCCAGGCTTTTCCTCAGCAGTTTGAGCTCCGTGCCTGAAGGAATTGCAGGCAATGATTCATCAGGGAGACAACGCATCCCAAACAACTAGAAGGTCAACTGCTTCTTAAGGCAAAACTATTTTGCAGTGATTTATAGCCATATGGGGGAAAACAGAGCTCCTCTGTGGCTAAAACAGGCAAATCATGGACTGAGAACAACTTCTTCTCAACACTCGAGAGCCCTTCTCAAGGAAACATCACACGCTTTACATAACGTAACAAAATGTAAGTTTTATTCCATATTATTAGTAATGGATGTAGAATAACCAGTTGAAGAGCTGGACTGATGTCTCCTCCTCCTTTGACCAGTGTTTAATATTCTAACTACAGTCCAAGATGTAATAACATTTACACTGAAAAATACTTACAGATTCAACCTCATACTCCAAAAATTTCTAGTACAAATACAGTTAGTACATAATAATAATAATAAAAAAAAAAACAACAACAACAATAAAAATAACAATCCCAGACGCTTTGTAACAGCACAGACTGGTTATGGCCTTGAGTTAAGTTCAAGTATTTCCCAGTGGAATGCAATGCAAGCAAGAAGGTAATCTGGCTTTTACTTGGGACATTCCTGGCCCTGAATGGTAAGAAGAGAAATATAAGTGTGGGCACTTCATCTGACCAAGTTTAGCAAGAGAGTCAACATTTACAATTAGTTCAGCTGCAGAGCCAAACCTGCCTCGTGTGTGAACAACACTGCAAACTGTAAAAAAGGAAAGCAAAGCATTAATTGTACTATTGGCATTTCTTCCATGGCTGATGCTCCGTGGTTTAACTGAAATTCCTTGAGCTGCTGGTTGGGTTTGGAATGGTTCTGATGCGGATTTTCCTTGTGGTTACACATATTTTGCCTGTCTGTCCTTTTCCTTCCCCAACTGACACGATAAAAGGAGGGGCTGTTGCAGGAGTCATTCCTGCAGAGTCATTAATGCCTTTGTGGCAGTGACTCAGTGGGAAGAGGCAATATCCTAAAGGATTTAGAGGTCACCGAGTGGAGGAGGAAGGGGGGAAGTGAGCAACTCAGTATACAGAGTAATAAAAATAATAATAATAATCTTTTCTGTTTCTGGGGCTGTCTGACTCGTGCTGGCTCAGATGGGATCTGGGAGAACCGGGATCCCTCCTCCCCAGGCTCAGAGGAGCCAGTGGTGGACTGGGACCTTGTAGGAAACTTTGCATCTCTCCCAGACAGCTCATGGCACCACAGCACTCCTGCTGGGAATGTGCCCTTGTGCTTCAATCCCTGCCAAAACACTTGGAAAACACGGGAAAGCCGTGTTGGAAGGGATGTTATGCAGGGAAGCACCTCGGGGCTGGCAGATGAGCAGGGCTGGCTGGAGGGAGGGTGCAGGGAATGGGTGCCCTGTGTCCCTAAGCAAGGGGGGGTGTATTGATCACCCAACAGTCTGCCCTGGGTCTGGCACTCATCAATACTGCAGTTATTGACTCTGCCCATGGAAAACTGCGTGTGAGTGTTCAGTGTGCTGGTGACACCAGCAGGGAGGGGGCTGTGAACCCGCCGCAGGATCCACAGGTCACCCAGAACCCCAGGACTGTGGTAGGACAGTAAAAAAGTGGTTGGAAGGAAAGCAGGAGGGTCCCAAATGGACAACCACACATCTGGAGGGGAGCAGAGAGGGAAGGTGGCCCCAGGACTGGCACTGCCACACCACTGGGAAGACGTGGAGTGGGCTGGTGTTGGTTCAAAGACACCAGGGAAAACCACGCTAGAAAAGCAGCCCTTGGAGAAAGGTTGATGAGGCTGGAGTTGTTTGGCTTAAAGCAGATTTGAGGGTGGAAACAATCTTCAAACACCCAAAATACGCAGATGTTAAAAGCATGAGACGTTCTCCATTGCTGAGGGGAGGAGACACCAGGGGTTGCAGTGAGGAGGGTTCATGTTACCCATTAAGGAGTCATTTGATGGTGGCAAGTTGGCAAGAAGATCCACGGTCCTTTCCCAACCCTGCTGCCCCAAGTGTCTCTGAACCTACGGCCACGAAGCCCTGGAATCTCCTCCCACCAGGCACTGACCCCCTGTATCACTGAGGCAGGTAAACCTGCCCTGTAAGAGTGGGTTTAATGAGTTGATCAGGTCTCTGTGACCAGGTTTGGGGTTTTTTGGCTTAAAATCTGTGCCCTGCTTTCCCCACAGTGAGACATTTGCCAGGATTGTTTCCTGAAGGAAGAGCAAGGGAAGCACATTCCCATCCCTTGGTGACTCAGCGGTGAACCTGCAGGTCAGCAGGAGCTGAGGGGAACATCTGAGCCACTGGGAAATGCTCAGGTCACATCTGGGGCTCGGGGAGATGCCACTGGTATGGGCAGGACAAATCCAAAATCCAGATTCCTGCACAGGGCAGCACTTCCCAGCGTTGTGTGGGAAGGACGAGTTTACCCAGGGCTGTGAGATTGCTGCTCATCCAAAAGGAATCAGAAGAACCCAGGCAGCATCCAACCATGGATCTCCTCAGAGTTTCCATCATTCCCTTGAGATCATGACTTTAAATGCACACTGTTTCCCATGGGACACAGGGCTGGGAATAAAAGAGAAGTCACACTGATGTGGAGGACAACCTTGTGCCCTGTAATGACTAGGGAGTGATTTCCACCCAGGAGCACCTCTCTCTCCTTCCCAGCAGCCTGGGCTGTGGACCTGCAGGCATTTAGGACAGGGGACAGCAGCCCTGTCAGCATCCAGCCTCTCCTGCTCTGCCCAGCACACCCCCAGCCAGGAGAGAACACAAGGACAAACAGCACAGTTGGATATGTTTGTCTCCCCACCACCGCGGTGTGAACTTTCTGAGCCTTTCCTGCAAAATTCCCAGCAGAAAGGGATGGATGTGTGCTACTGCCACAGCTGGGGGGATGTGCTGATCCTCCTCCTCGATGCATTTTGGAGGGGAAGATCTCCAGCAGTGAGAGCAAACAGCATTCCAGGCATTTTACCAATGCCTTCAGCAGGACCAGGAACAAGCCTGGAAGTCTTCCCCAGGCTGTTACACAAAGCCACACTGACTATTTGCAGCTGGATACCTTGTAGGGTGTTTCTTTGCTTCCTTTTCAATTCCACTTTTTGTTCTCTAAAGGCATGGAGCAGCTCAGCTGAGGTTCCCAGGAGATGAAGGGCATATCCAAATTTTCTGCCTGTTCCCCAGAACGGCCAAGGGGCCTGGACACAACAGGCATCCTCAAGGCTTTTAGGGACTGATCTCAAGGACACGACAGTGATGCCCAGGAAGAAATCCTGTAAACCCAATGGAGAAAAAAATACTGGTCCAGGGACCTGGATGTGACTTTGGGTGGCTGGCACAGCCCCAAGGGAACAGCTCAGCACAGGGACAGTGCTGTGTTAGGGAGGATTGACTTCTTTTGTGTTAGGTTTGATCTTGAAGGCTCTGCCTATTTGGGTTCTCCATGGTGAGGAATCAGCCACAGGATTATTGGGAGGTTGTGAGAGCATCTGCCAAGCCACAGGTATCTTGGGAACATCTCAGGGATCAGACCCTCTCTGGTAGAGTTGGGCAGCTCCAGTCTCTGCCACTTGGCAGGAGATGCTCCCCGTGCTCCCAGTGATGAGGTTTTCTTTCTGTAGGGGAACAAAGCCACAGCCCCAGAGCTGTGCAGGAGACGTGGGATGAAACCACCCTGACAAAGCACATCTCAGCACCAGCAGGAGCCTTGGAGCTCAGCAGCTTTCAACACGACCCCAGACTACTGTAAGTGCAGGAAAACCACCCTAAAAACAAGCCAAGCTGAAAAAAACACCCCATAAACTGAGGAAAAATTTCCTGCTGCCATCCTGGTCCTGTCCCCACGGAAGCCAGATCTCCTGCAAAGCCCCTCAGGAAAGTGTGGGAAACCTCCCCATGGCCCAGGTGAGGCTGGAGGCTGAAAGCCCAACAACTGCTCCAGGATGAGATCAGCCCCAGTCCTGGAGCAGCTGGGTTTTCCCAGGGGAGGTGGAAGGCTGTAAAATGACCAGAGGGTTGATATTACATTTACATATATCTCTCTATGTCTATATTCACACACACATGTTCATATGTGTCTGTATATATACGTACACGTACACACACACACACCATAGACACACTATGCATAGATCTGCCTTCTGCCACTATTTATAAGGGTTTGATTCATCAGAAAAACAAACTTACCAACAGAGATCTTCCTTGATTCACCAAAAAACCCCTAGATTTGCCAACAGAGATCTTTCTTGATTAATCAGAAAAACCAAATTTGCCGACTCCGACCTTCCGACCTCTACTTAAACTCAGCAAATAAAGAAGCCTAAACCCTCCACGCTTTTTGTTTTCCTGGTTGCATAAAGGCACTTTCTGATGATTTTAAGCAGCAGTTCGTTAAAAAAACTCTGTAACTGCAAGGATTCCCATCACATCTGTAGCAAGGGCTACACAGGCACCGGTAGGATGCAGTGTCACTGCTCGCTCCTGCTCCGGAGGGTTGGAGCAGATCTGCTTTTTGCTTCAACGCAGAGGAATAAAAGACGAAACCTTCAGTGCTGGGCTGTTCTTAGGGCTCTCTGTGTGAGACAGTCGCTGTCTTCCCGCCCCATAACCTGATGTGGGTGCCAGCTCCTGGCTTGCAGCATCCAACAGCATCTTCATGATGCCCTGCAAGAGCAACCTGCCAATCCAGGCAGGACGCCGTGTCGTGAAGGTCCGTGCAACATGTCAGTTGTTCTCATAATCAGGGGATCGGAAATTAATTTGATTAAGGGTATTTAGTAATTAAATGCCGCCTGACCTGCAGCCCCCAAGCCTTGCCGTGCAGGAGGGCGGCTGCTCGTGCCAGCCTGACCTCCCCCCTGAGCCACCAGCAGCTCCACGTCCCACCACGGCGCATTGTCCATCTCTGCTGGGGGCTCCGGTGGTGACCGAAGGGGTGGGAGGTGCAGGGGGGTTGCTGTTACTCACTAGAGGTTCCCGTTACTCACTGGAGGTTCCCAGCTGGAGAACACGTTGGAAACAGGGAAGAAATGTCTTTTGTTAACGCCCTGGAAGACAGCACTAAACTGGTCTGAAACTCCTTCTCTTTCTCGACTTCCACACAAAAACTGTGCCTGTGCCCAGCGAAACGAACGCAAGGTAACGCCAAAAACCAGAGACAAACCAAAATAAACCCCCCACTTACGCTGCCCCCTCACCTCTTCCACAAAGTTATATCCACACAGACGTCTTCCCGTCCTTACTGCTGGAGCTCCCCTTCTCCAAGGAGGCCTTGGGTTTAGCACCTTGTTTCTCCTGGGCGGTGTTGGCCCTGTTCTGCTCCACCACCGTGCCCCCCGAGGCGGGGCTGCTGGTCCTGGAGGGCTGGGTGTTGGCCTGGGTGCTGCTGTAGCTCTGGAAGGCGATGTCCAACTGCTCCTGGGCCACCCGCAGGTGCTTGTGAAGGGTGGACAAATCCGCTGGCAGGTTCTCGTCGGGGCTGGTGCACTGCTGCTCCTGGGCCACGTTGGCCAAGTTCTGCTCGTGGGCCATCAGGCTGTTGGGGATCTTGGTGGACTTCTCCGACTTCACCACCAGGTTGTACTCGGGGGGGCAGGAGATGTTCTTCGGGTAGGCGTAGTTGTAGGGCGGCTGCCTGAAGCTGTTGATCTTCCGGTTGCGGATGGCGTCGCGGATGGTCCCGAAGCCCAGGTGGAACATCTCGCACATGTTCAGCAGCAGGCACAGGCAGCTCACCACGTACATCACCAGGAGGAAGATGGTCTTCTCCGTGGGCCGGGACACGAAGCAGTCCACGGTGTGAGGGCAGGGCACCCTGTTGCAGACGTAGTACGCCTCCACCTCGAAGCCGTAGAGCAGATACTGCCCTATCAAAAAGCAAACCTCGAAGGAAGCCCGGGTGAGCAGCTGGAAGACGTAGATCTTCATCAGTCCCTCCTGCTGGATGCGCCTCCTCCCGTCGTGCTTCTGCGGCTCCTTGCACTTGGGCTTGGCCTTGGCCTTCTCGTGCTCCGCCGCGTCGTCGGAGATCATGGGCTCCTCCTCGTCGGCCTCCATCGCGTCCTCCATGTTGCGCACGGCCTGCCAGTTCAGGGCAAACTGCTTCTTCTTCTTGAACCCCTTGAACTTCTTCTCCTCCTCGGCCGAGCGGGCGATCCTGTGGATGGCGTAGCCCAGGTACATGACGGAAGGGGTGGAGATCACGATGATCTGGAAGACCCAGAACCTGACGTGCGACAGCGGCGCGAAGGCGTCGTAGCAGACGTTGTCGCAGCCCGGCTGCTTCGTGTTGCAGGTGAACTTGCTCTGCTCATCGGAGTAGATGGACTCGCCCCCCACCGCGGTCAGCACGATGCGGAACACGATGAGCACGGTGAGCCAGACCTTCCCCACGAAGGTGGAGTGATTGTGAATCTCTTCTAGCAGGCGGGTGAGGAAGCTCCAGCTCATGTTGGTCATAAGGGCTACTCAGTTAGAACCTGCGGGAAAAGGGGGGGGAAATAAAAAAACCACGGTTTTGCGAGGTCACATCTTGTGTCAGCCACGGGGCGGCCAGAAGGACCAGGGCAGGGATTGTCCCTCCCTGTGCTGAGGCCACACCTCAAATCCTGGGGGTAGTTTTGGGCCCCTCATGACAAGAAAGACATTGAGGGGCTGGAGCGTGTGCCGGGAAGGGAATGGAGCTGGGAAGGGGCTGGAGCAGCAGGAGCAGCTGAGGGAGCTGGGGGGGCTCAGCCTGGAGAAAAGAAGGCTCAGGGGGGACGTTCTCCCTCCCTACAACTCTCTGACAGGAAGGGGGAGCAAGGTGGGGGTCGGGCTCTTCTCCCAGATAACAAGTGGAAAGGACAAGAGGAAATTGCCTCAATTTGCACCAGGGGCAGTGTTCCACTCCAGATTTTAAGCCATAAGCTGCCCAGAGAGGTTACATTTTATTAAAGACTTTTTAAAAGCCTTTTAGTTTGCTATAGCCTCGAATTAGCATCCAGAGAAAGAGTCACACACTCTCCTCCAAGAGAGGTTCTTTTAATTTAGTGAGAAAAACAAGGTATTTTGGCAAAAGGTTTTACAGGAGTAAAATACAACCAAGAAAAAAATATTTCTTTTCCAACCTAAATGATTCTGTGGGATAAACTCACTCGCACAACATGGGTTCAAGGGCCTGAGCTGAAAGCAGGAGCAGAGGGTGCTGCCCACATCACAGAGACTTGCACTGCTGCAATATCCTTCATTAGCAAACCCAGAAAAATGCAAAGAATCAGGGAAAGAATGGGAATATTTATGTTTACAGGCCGACGGCCCTTTAAAGTCCCTTTTGAAAAAACGAAACAAAACAAAAGTTTAATCAAATGCAGACTGTTTCAAAAATAAACCTTGAAAAAGCTTTCAAGAGAAACCCGTGCATTTATTAGAAGACCTGGACAGCTGGGGAGGAAGAGCTTGTAATAACCATCCTGTGTTTAGCTTAACTTGCAGTGGGACCTCAGCCCAGGCTCCTTGGGTGACCCCAGGCATCACTAAAGACAGGAGGCTTTTTACTGCTTGACTGGCACAGCCCTGACAGATACCTGGAAGTGAGAATGACAGGGAAAATATCATGGACCTAGAGAGCACTGGAAGGAGGGAAGAGAGAGAGAAGAGAGAAGGAAGAGAGAGGGAAGAGAGAGGGAAGAGAGAGGGAAGAGAGAGGGAAGAGAGAGGGAAGAGAGAGGGGCTGTTGTCCATGTGTGGAAAGAGTGTGGACATCAAACCTAACCCTCCATGCTGTGTGAGCATGGCTGAGTGAGGATGAAGATCTAAGGTGGGGAAATGATCATAGAATCACAGAATCCTATAATTTTTTGATTGAAAGGGATTTTAAAGATCATGTAGTTCCAAGCCCCTGCCCTGGGCAGGGACACCTTCAACTAGACCAGGTTGCTCCAAGCCCCGTCCAACCTGGTTTGATGATGCCACGAGACAAGAGCGAGGTCCCAGCTTGGCTTTGCACCAGTGGAGACACAAAATTGTGGGGTTTCCATGGTCCAAATCCAGGCTTTGATCCCACTGCCCGTGCCAGGCACAGCGTGGGAGCAGCCACAGGCACAGCCCCACACGGGAGCGGGAAGGGAAACGTGCCTCGCTCTGCTCTCCACACCAAGCCTTCCTGGAATGTGGCTTTGCTTTAGGACAGGAGCCAAGCAGGGCTGGTTTGCCCCAGGAGGCAGCACCGTCCCGGCCTCGAGATGCAGCGAAATTCCTGTGCTGTCGAGGGCCCTCGAGAGCAGCAGATGGAATTTTCTAACCCTGCTATTTCCAGATCAAACGAATCCCCTGCGAACCCAAACCCCCGAGTCTTCACACGCCGGGCTGGGCCTGTGGGAGCTCTGCAGATGGTGTTGTTCCTGTCCTGCAGCTGGAGAAACTGAGGCAGGGAGAACTTCTGGGTAACAAGCCAGGAGAAGAGGTGGGGAAGTCCTCCTCTCTGCCCTCAGCTTGCCTGGTAAAGAACAACAGCCCTCAAAGCTGCCGGGACCAGAATCCCCACCTCCTGCCCCAAAAGTGATGCCAATGGTCAGCATAGAAACACTGTGCAGGTGAACATGGAAAGCAACCCCCACAGAGCTATTTAATGAGGAATTTGGGTTTATTCAGGGGTGAAATGGGAAAAAACATCCCCTTTGAGTGCCTCTTTTTGCTTCTTTGCAGTGGGTACACCCTGAAGTGTCTTTAACCCTTCCCCTGTCGTGTTTACATTCAAATATGGGCAAAATGGGGCGTTACATGATTTGTAGGATTAATCCAGGCACTCAGCCAGGCTCCAGCTGACCAGGGGGCTGGGAAGGGAAGACCCTGCTGGGTGTGGGATACCCAAGTCTGCCCAAGGCTTGAGGACACATCAGCTTCACCTGCTCAGCCCCCACCAGCTCCCACTTGCACCCCCAACTAACTGCAAGCCCCAAATTGTCCTTAAAGATGCACTTCAAACGTCCTGTAGGGCAGTTCATTCAAAATTCAGGGCTCACCTAGAGGCTTTCTGAGGTTTACACCGAGGATAATTTACCATTCTGTGAGTGTTACTCACAGACACGATTCCCAAAGCTCCAGCTCACCTCCCAAAAGCTGTTTGATGGGGCTGGGAGGGTCTGACCAAGGTAGTGATGGCTTTTGGAGTAAATATTCAAGTTTTGAACTGGTTGTCAGCAAACACCCACTGTCTCCTCTGGGAGACACGTTTTAGAAAGGAGTCCCTGACAGCTCCCAAACTTCCTGAGCCAAGGAAAAGGAAAGAAATTGGTAGATAACACAAGTGGAGGGCTGTTGCTTCGGGAAGAACATCTCTGGCCACCAGCTCGAGGTGCTGGTCCTGCCCACGGACACTGCAGCTCAGCCCTCTGTGCACATCTGGATCTGCAGGAACATCTGCAGGAAACAGCCACGAGCTGTTCCTGTGCCCCTGGGACCCCTCTGCGTGGGATCACACCTGGATGTCACACTCCTGTGTGCCCACCCACCCTCCTGGCATCGGATCAGAGAGCAGGAGCTGAAGGAAACAAGTAAAAACCCCTCCTACAATCAGTTAGTTCAGTTGAACTTCCAGTGCTTTTTGTGGCTCACTGGCTACAAAGACCATACTAAGAGATTTCAATGCCTTTAATTGCTTGAGTGGGGGTTAGTGCACCGTGATAATACGGGATCAATTATGTGGCAAACAAGCTTCCAAGGAATAATTTGTTCTCAGTGCTGATGGATAGGATGCTACTAGGAAAAAGACTGTCTTTTCTCTTCACAGTGCCAACTAGAAAAGCGGAGAAAATGGATTTTTACATCTTTCCACGAGATCTAATTCCTTCATGCAGTGGGAAAGTCACACAGTCTGAGGAAAAAACCCCAAACCTGTGTGGATCTGCAGCAGGTAGATGGATTAGATCAGGTGGTTCATGAAGCTCATTATCCACCAAAGAAATGACCCATCATCCCTCTGGCTTTGAAATCCATTCATTCAACCATCCATCTTCACACGTCACCTCCAGATTAGGTGACACACACAGGGCACAAGTTTCACTCCAAGACAGAGGCACAGCAGGAACTGGACTGCTCAAACCACCAGAAACACCTAAAGTAGTCAAAATCATGTGTAGCCAGGTACAGGAATGAGCCTTTGGCTCCACATTCTCATCCCAGTGACTTCCCAAAACCTGCTGATCCCCTCTACACAATCACAGGCGCAACTGTTAGACCCGGGAAAAAAACTTTTTAAAACCTGAGTTTTAAGTAATCCGAAGGGAGAAAAGAAATTACCCAGCGCTAGCTGGACGCCTTTCCTTTCCGCACGGTTGCTTAAACCGCGGGGAAAACAATGGAAGGGGGGGGAAAAATCTACTTACAGAGACATGGTGCTTCCCGCGGTGGCTCCCCCGACATTCCCGTGCCTTGCCCCAGATAAACTCCCGCTGCCGCGGTCCAGCCACGCCCCAGCGGCTGGAAAGAGCAGCTCCAGGGAAAGCTGGAGCTCCGGGGAAGTATTTAATGTTGCCGTCAGACCCCGCCTCTGTGGCATCCCCCGCCGGGAGGTCCTGCCCGACCCCCGGGCACGATCCCCACCGCGGCTCCCGGCGCTCCCCCCGCCCTCGCCAAGCCCCGGGAGAAGGAGGAGGGAAGGCGCTGTATAAATACACCGGGGAAGGAGAGAGGAGGGCATTGGTTTTAAATCCAAACAAGCGCGCCGGGGCTGAGCTTTAGGAATTCCGCCGCCTGGAATTCCGCCGCCGAGCTCTGGAGCCCGGTTGGAAGTAAATTAATAGCACCGGCTTGTGGCGCTGGTAACAGATTTGTAAGGCAGAGAGCGTGACTAATAGGGAACATGTGGAAAACACGCTTTGGCGAAGGTTCCTTGGCTGTTGGGGGCGAAAAAATAACAAAAAAAAAAAGGAAAGAGGGAAGGCTCACTAGTGGGAAAAACCGCCCTGGAGCTCCTGCTTTGCTGCTCCCCCAGGCAAGGCTGTCCCTGGAAGAGGTGATGCTCCTCTCTCCAGGCTGGTGGATGGAGCAGAGAGCAGGTGAAGGGTGGGGAAGGGCATCTGAGCACACACTGAGGCTTTCTGGCTTCTTTGCAGGAGCAATGATTAGCAAGAAGTAGGATGGGAATGCACGTGAAGCCTAAGCCAGGTGGTTTTCAAGAAGAAAACCTCCATCCTGGTGCTCCAAGGATCACCTTTTTGTCCCTGCTCCATCCGTGGGGAGCTTTGGCACTGCCATCCCCGCAGGGTCAGGGCTCTGGGTGTCTGCTGAGATGGAAATGGGGAGTCAAGGCAGAAGGTCCATCCAAGGGATGGAGAAGGAAGACACAGCAGCAGCCAAGGCATGGAAAAGATCAGATCCAGTCCCTGAGGGAACAAAGCATGGGAAGATGTTTAGATGCATTTCATTTAAGGGGAAGGTTGGGAACCACATGGTTTATCAGGAGCTTTCATCCCTGGTCCTGACAAAGCAGGATATTCATCCTGCTGTCAGACCTCTGGTTTCCCAAAGAGCTTGAATGGACGTGGAAGGCCAATTCCTGCTCACTGGAGCATCTGGAACCAACAGCCCTCAAGGCTTTAAGTTATAAACTAATTACTCACTGACGGGGATACATTATTTACTAATTACTCATACACAGTGGTAAGTTAATTCACTGCTTGGAATTAGTCATCTGAGACGGGCAAGTGGAAAAGCCCTGTCAGCTAAGTCAGGTGCAGGGGAAACCACAACCTTATGGGAATAAGCCACACCAGGGAAACCAAGTTTTGGGAGGCATTTTGGGGAAATAAGCATCTAAAGGAGTTAAATTATCACAATTTATCACAACCCTGGCTTCACGCTTCAACTGCAGCACGTGGCACAGCAACAACCTGCACTCTCAAAGGACAGAGGGAGCTGGTTTCAGAGGAGAGCACCAGGGCTGGAGATCTCCCACTGGGATCCCTTTGGGAGGGTGAAAACATGCACAGGCTGAGGCCACATTATCCCTGCGTGTTGCTGGGGTTGGGTTTGGCCTCCAGCACGCTGGGACAGGGATCTCCTTCCCCTCATGGTCCTTCAAGTCTGGGCGCAGCGTGGTGGGTGTCACCTCGTGGTCACCTCCAAAGGGGCCACTGGATGGTCTTTGGGTGCATCCCCCGCAAGGAGGGACCCCACAGCTTCCAGCACGTGTCCCACCACCTCCTAAAAAACCAGCCCTGTGAGATCCATCGGGCCTGAGGGGCGGCCACCAAGGTCTCATTCCCATCAAAGAGCCGTGCTGAAACTCCCACCCACTCCAGCCGGTGCGGGATGGAGCTGTGGGGAAGTATTATTAGTTATTTAAAAATAACCAGCTGAGAACAACTTCCAGGCTCTGCAGGACTTCAGGCAGCAGCTCGGAGATAAAAGGCAGCTCGGCGTGGTCCTGGTCCTGTGGGTGACACAGATTTTCCAGGCCCTTTGCTTTCCGACTGCATGGGTTTATTTACAAATGCAGCAATTGCTGCCTGGTGGAAGTTTTTTGGGGCATCTGCGCTCCAGGCAAGCCAGGCAACATCTGCTCCTGCTCCAGCTGAGGCCCAGCCTCTCCAGCCACCCCACTGGCAGGGACTGAGTGGTTCCCACCACCAAACCATCACCCAGGGAAGGAGGCAGAAGGCTGGAGGCAGAGCCATAAATGAATGTACAGGGAAAACCCGCCCCTGCAGCATCCCATGCCCTCAATTTAATGCTTGGCATGGAGAAAAGGGGAATAAAAGAGAGGAGACAGAGGGGAAAAGATGTGATGAAGCCTTGTATAATTCCAGCTGCTGCTGCTGGGAGTCACCTCTGCAGGTCACCTCTGCCCCAGGCACCATTTGTGTTTCAGAGCAGGGATCTATACATATTTATTTAAATGTCCCATTGAAATAAATAAGTGCTGTCACAAATGATAATGAGACCTGGTGTAACATCTCCCCGCTGCGTCAGTGCTGAGCAGGGGCCATAATTGTCTACTCTGAGCACAAACCTCCAAAGCTCTGCACTGGGTTGTGCTGACAGCTCATTTTCTTCTCTGATTTTCTCCTTCTGGATATTTATTTGTTCAGTTTTTAAGCTAAATGAAATGAAGACACACATCTTTGTGCAAATGATAAGCCTGTTTTTTTTAAAACATGACCCAGGAAGCAACATCACTGACCTGGGGCAAATGTCACAAAATTGAAATAAAATAAGAATGTCAGGTTTTACCTTATTGGAAATTGTCAGATTTGGGGTTTTGAGACGACAGAATTTCATGCCTGAGAAGCAAAAATGCTTGAACACCACAAGTGAGGGCAAAGGCTGAAGGAAATCTTATCTTAAATCTTATCTTTTCCTCTTGGATTAACTTCTCTAACCTTTTCTCCCTGACTCTCAGACGTGGGATGCAGGACAAATCCTCACCCTTGGTGGCTGTGGGTGCCATCCACTTTGTGAGGGAAAGTGTGGCAAAGGCCCTGCTAAAAAGGAATACTGGACTTGGAAAACACTGTGATCTTTTGCACAGTCTTAAAGTTCACTGAACTGTGTTATTTATTTGACATTTGTAGTGGCTCATTCCCAGGCAGAGCTGGGTTGACAGGGCCAGGTAAACCTGCAGAGAACACCAGAATGGTTTGGGTTGGAGAGATCCTGTAGTTCCAACCCTGGATGTCCCAGGGATCCGCCCAGAAGCTGCAGAGCAGAGACAGGAGGGAGCAGGTGGGAATGGCCCCAGTGCTGCTCAACTCAGCCATGCCAGCCAAGGACTTCCAGGCTCTCTTTCCATCCCACCATATTCCCAACTTAACGCAGGAAAACATCTCAGTCATGCAAATTCCCTCCTTCACACAGAGCTCTGGGGGTTCTCCAGGACTTGGGACTAATCAGGGCTCCCATCCCTGGAACTCAGCCAAAACTTTAACTCTCCTAAAAACCCCAATTTACAGGCAGCAGAAAAAGCTGTGCCAGGGGCTGTTGCTAAAATCTGCTCCACCACAAACCTCTGTGAGGACCTTTCAGGACAGAGGTGACAACAATCCCAGTGAAAACGTGTCATTTGGATGATAGAGAGACAAGGGCTCTTCCTATTCACCCTCAGGTTGATCTTTGTCCTGTTGGATGAACCCAGGAAGGGTTTGATCTGGATCAGGATGATGTGGTTGGTCTCTGCTTCTTTGCAAGAGAAAAATCTGGTCTCACACATTTTTCCAAAGCCTGTGGGGATTTTGGCTGCTTAATAAAGGCTGTTTGGACACGAGGTGAAGGCTGCAAATGTAAACTCAGAATTTCCATGAAATTTGGGCCATGGTTGTGCCTCAGTTAGCCCAGAAGACGGGTCAGAACATGGAATTTCTGTGAAGTTTGCATTGGTTTCTGCCTGGAGCAAAAAGCCAATGCTGTGAGCAGAAAGAATAACATTTCTGCTGGAAAACAGGGAAAGGTTTCCTTTGGATATCACTGACTGATAGGTAAAAGCACCTCACTTTGAAAACGACCAAAAAATTAATCTGACATGGTTAAAAAACAATAAGATCTAAATTCCAAAGCACAAAAAACCAGAGGAAGCATTTAAACCCGGGCTGGAGAGCAGAAGGGATTTATTCCAGCCCTTCCTAGCTGAAAATTTTGCTGTGAGGGACACATTCCTGAGATAAATTTCAGTGTGGAGAAAAAAACACCTTTTTTTTTTTTCAAAGGGGAACCTTTCTGCTGAAGTTTTCAAAGGTGGTGAGATAACACAGGGGAGGTTCTGAAAGAAGGGACTCACGGGGAGCCCCAGGACGTGGCTCAGCAAAGCCCTTTTATAGCACTTTTTTTTTCCCTCGTGTCTATTCCTGCTCCAAAGAAAATATTCTGCCTCAATAGCCAGAGGTCAAACGGTGCAATTATTCCCCTTCTCTATTTGCTTCCCTTTCCTGAAGTGGCTGGAGGAGGGATGGGAATGAAAGGCCACGTCCAACCCCGCCCGTTGGGGTCACCCCCGGCGTTAGCGCTGCCCACCTTCCTCCTGCAAACCCATCCTGGCTCCCTGAGATCTCATAACAGGAAGCAATAAACTTTCCAGCCTGTGAAGCCAAGCCAGGCTCGACTTGCTCCAGACTTTCCTGAACTTGTACAAAAGAGTGACAAAAAAATAAAATAAAATTAAAAAAAAATCAATTAAGAATCAGAGGAAATTCGTCCCCGTGCAAAGGTCACGGCACATCGTCTCCTCCCTCCCTGCTCCATTATGGACATTCCTCCATCCACAGTTCACCCAGCAGAGGTGCCTTAATGCAGGCAGGGGCAGAGGAAAAAGGTCAAGGGTGCATGGGAAATGCTGGAGAATGCTGGAAAAAAAAGGGCAAACAGACACGCTTTTGGCCGCTCCAGAAAGGTGTGGGTTGTTGTTTTGTTGGGTTTTTTTTCCCTTTTTCCCTAACACCTGTGGATAGGCAGAGATGGTGTGTGGGGAGGGAGCTTGGAAGAGCCCCAGGAAAAGGGGGCAGGAGAGGTTGGAAGCTCAGCCACGGCTTCTGGGCTCCATTCAGGACCTGCTGGGTGAGGTCCCTGACTGTTGCCAAGCGGATAAAAGGAACATTTTCCCCTATTTTTCAGCTGCATGAAAACCATATT